CTCTGCAGCACTGCACTCAAGAGTGGCGATGCTGGCGACCAAAACTCCACGCTTGAAGCGCTCATCGAGGTCTTCGCTGGTGCTGCCAGTGCCGCAGCAAACTCGACGGCTGATTTGCAAGCGGAATCTTCTTCTCGCAGCGGTTGCTTCGAGGTCCAGGCTTTGATGAAGACATGCGGCACTCAGTGCTATTCGGCCAGTGATAAGGCCACCTGCGCCACCACCTGCCTTGTCGGCAAGGGTGTTGGCAGGGGATGTGCAAGCTGCTTCGGTAGGAAGATCAGCTGCACAATCAAGAACTGCTTGAGTAGCTGCGCAGCAAATGCGAATGGAGCCCCTTGCAAATCCTGCGTGTCCAGAACCTGCGGCTCCTGCAACGCGCAGAAGTCAGGTCAAGAGGATGCGGGCAAGGATAGTTTTGTTGCTTCTTTGGTCGCGCTGGCTGCTCAAGAGCAGCAGCACCCAATTCTTCCCTGATTCCATGGATGCGCGCCATCGCAATCCCCACGTATAGCAGGGCATAGCCTTAATTTGCTTGTCACCAATCTTGTATGCACGCTTACTTTTGTGGCCAAGCTGTCAGCACATACGTTGCGACAATCAAGCACAACCTAAAGCCGGCTTCGCCTTCGCAGTGGAGCATCATCGGATGTGGTGTGCCGAGCTCATATTCATTAGAAAGCCTCTTGCTTGTGACAAAACGCTTGTGCCTGATGCCTGATGCCTCTTAGGATTGACGCATGTCGCACCAACTCCCAGGGTCTGATGCATCGTTTGACCCATTGCTTTGAAGATTCAAGCATGCACATGCGACAGCGCACAGAGTTTGCTCTGCCTGCAGGCCAACACATTGCATGTTCTACGGCGCCTACTCCAACAGTTCCAGGAACACGATCGTACCCAGACTGATTCAAGCGCAGGGGTTCAGTGGGCTTGCAGAGTCCGCAGCAATTCCGACCCCAGGGGGAGAATTCCCAGAAGCTGTTTTGGTTTCGGGTGGGGATTGCAGCTGAGTGCCTTGCACATGCTGGCCACACATGTGAATCTGCGCCAACCGTCAGAAGGGAGGGTTGCTTGCATTGCAGCACGTCGCTCTAACTCCTTCCCTAGTGCCTAGCTGCAGCCACCGTTGCTGCGCAGCCTGTGATGCTGAGGAAGGCGGCCGCTTGGCGAGCAATCAGCTTGGCCACAGTACCTCTGGAAGCCAGGATTGAGAGCTATTCTCCTGACCAGAAGGGTAGGAAAGCTACCATGTTTTCGTTTGGCTCCGATTTGAAGACCTCCTGCGCGTGCACTTTATGTAGGAGCTTTTCAAGATTGCCAGTTTGGGTCCCCACATAGGAGTATTTCATGCCTTCCAACAAGCGCCCACAATTTCGCGGAATGTGCCTCTTGTTTTGGCAGAGTTCAGAAATTGTGGCTTGAAGGCTTTCAGGCAGTTTTTTCTGAAACAGTAGGCCTTCGGCCTTGCATGTAGAGTCTTCAGACTAGAACTAGGCAACTTGTGCTACAAAGAAGGATAAGCTGTATTTGTGGCTCTTCCATGAAAAGACAGCCAAACATGTTCTGAGGGTAACAGGAGGACCGAAATCAATCAAAGCCATGAGCCGCGCAAGCCGGAGCCACGTCAAAAATCCATACGTACTTACGGGATATTACCGGACATAGCAGTATAATCCACTATAACCTATAATCCCTGTAGTTTCCATTGTGTTTTCCATTTTATTTTCCATTATCCCTATATAACCCCACTATATACCCAAACCAGAATGGGTTTTCCATTGTCTGCAGGCAAGGAGCGGTAGAGGCAGAGGTGGCTATGGAGCTTCTCCTAGCACATGGAGCCGGACCCCCGGATTCCTTTTTGCAAGTGACATGGCTCCTTCTGGGGTTCCTTGCACAAAATCTGGGGTATCCTCTCCTGGACAAACTAAATTACCCATATTTTAGCTGCAGCTCACGTATTTTTCTCCCTATAGAGCCCACATTGTGTTTGGGTGTCACTGGCACTGCAGGGCGTGGATAGAGTCCACATTGTTTTGGAAGACTGTGAAACCGGTACGGTAGAGTGGCGTGGGTTTGGGATTCTGCCCAGGATGAGTGACAGAGTGTGTATGTAAATGCCGCAGGTCCAAATGAGTTCATTTTGCAGGGAGAATGCTTTGCCAGCCAATCTTTGAAAGCACTGTGCGGCTTGTCCACCGCGATTTTCGAGTGTCCTAGGCATTGATCTAGGGGTCCTTGCTCAATTTGTTCAGGGCTCTCCTCTTTGTAGACCTCTAGCTTCTGGCTTCTTTCTTGAAGTTAGACCTGAATAGCAAGCAATCCACCAAATCACGGGCTCAGGGGCGATTTTTCAGCGTTTTCAGCGTTGCACATCATATCTGCCCATGAACTCAGAGAGTGCAACTGCAGACCCGACTTCTTGAGGCGACCCCCCAATACCAAGAAGAGATGTGCCACATGTGGGTAACCTCACTCATGCCATTATTTTTGCGCGGCCACGACCAGTATTCGGCTTAATCAGTTGAAATTGAAATCCGAACTCCTGTTAATAGCTTCCTGGCGTGGAAGGTTCCTCGAAAGATAGCACGCCTGTGCCTGGAGTCGAGTGGGAGTCACTTTCATTATGATGCTTGGACTGCAGGGTATCCAACGTTTGCTGGCGACTTCAGGGGCATAGATTTCCCCGAATCCAAAAAGCAGCAGGGCAAAGGCAGTTGGTCAATATCGTTCCTTGCCTGTTACTTAGCCTCTCAAGAGGAGTAGAATTTGAAAAGATTCTGTGCATGACTTCCACTGGTCCCACATGTGAATTGAGATTGGGGCCTGGTCTTGCCCGGAAAGACCACGCCACAAACTTGGTCTTGCATGTGTACATTCATCCGTCAACTTTGTTGCTGCAGTCGCGCGGTGTTTCCTGCCGATGACATGGTTTGTTTCAAGACAAGGGCCCATGTCCAGCCGCAACGTACTGTAAGTCCTTTTGGCCTCGCAAGCAACCTCTGGCTTTTGGAAGGCCCCAAATTCTAGTCTTTCACACAGCATGAGGGCGAGATCACGGTGCACATCCCAACCCAGGTTACGCTGATGAATGATCTCCTCGCCTCGAAAGAAAGGCCAGCAAGCCACACAGCACGAGTTCCCGTTTCATGTGCCATGTTCTTTTCTGTTTGATGCGCCATGATTGGGGCAATATCGCTATGGCTTTTTGAGTGCACGTCTCTGCAAAACGGCGCTATGAGACAACAGAACAGAACGACTGCATTCTTTCAGCCTGGCTCGCAGTTTCGAATGTGACAAGAATCATTTGCAGGATTTAGCGTCTGCAAGCTGGTACTAAGTCAGTACTGATCGAGCAATCCCTCAACAGCTTTTTGCCAGAGTGACGTGATGCTTTCGGATCAGGAGTGAACTGCAGTTTTTGCCAGTTCACTGACGCCTGCACTGACAGGTATGGCTACCAGTACGTATTGGAAACTTGGCAGGATGTGCTTGCGGTGACTTAGAGTGAGAAGTATAGCATGACACTGACGGAAATCAGCTAGCGTAGAACTAGCAATCATGGTTGTTCTGGACCTGTGCACTTTAGCTCCCTGCTTCATGCTTGAGAACTGAGTACGAGGCAACATACAAGACAAGCTCCCACTTCAAGCCTACTAGAAACCGTGAAAGTTAAGAGGTCCCTCAACATGATCCGCAACTTCTCGAGGAACTTTTCCAAAGCTTGGACACAGACTCTTCTGGGTGCCTCGTGCTGCAATGTACAACTAGAACACCTGGTTTAGGCTGAGGCCTTCGTGCCCCGAAAGCCTCGACAGCCTGCTCTTGTCCCTTCAGATTTTGGGTCTCTGTTGGTAGAGGCGTAGGGTTGTGTGTGTGTGTGTGGGAAAGCTCGGACACAGCCTCAGGAAACACGTTTTCTCCACCATCTGATATTAGATGCATGGTTTTTTTTATCGGTCGTAGGAGATATGTGAAGGATGGACATTGGATTCGTGACGCAGGGTTGTTGATTGGAAAACGATAACACACTCACCAAAAACGATAACGACAACAAATACACCGAAAATTGGAAAACGATAACACACTCACCAATTTTCCATTG